GTTGAAGAACCGAGCATCCGTAAAGTTTTCACCTCCGGTATACGTATGTTCCGCGAAATTGACTTTAGGAAGATTTAAGTTTCCTAGAATCAGGATGAGTGAATCCAAGGCGAGTAGAGCGAAATAATTCCTCCAGAGTGCGACTGTCGTAGATGACTGCAACTAGTGACTTCGAGGTGTTAGTCAATCTTGCTGAGTACCACACGGATTCATCAAGATTGATAAACTCTTGGTTGTACAATTGATGTAGCCCTGTAGTGACATTGGACCATAACCACACATTCCTCAAAGCTGAAAACGAGACTACTCGGAAAATAGATATTCAATATTTAACGCGGAGAAATATTTAAGAATGGAAAGGGCGGGGAATAAGGATTTTAATTAAAGGAGTTGATCGGTATGGCATGGCTCGGCCATGCAGGCGTGGTCCCTGCTGAATGTTGTCTTATATCTTTTATTCATATTAAATATATTTTTCCGTCTCTAGCCTAAGTTTGTTCTCCATCATGTATTAGTAATTGTTATGATGCGATGAGGTGATGTAGACAATAATGTGACTTTGTTGAATTATGGTCTACTATGATATTAGCACTGCTCTAATAATAGACCTAATCCTAAAATTGTAGATTTATCATGATGTAACTGCCTAATCTATAAGATCTTACGTGGAAGTTACACCATCGTTTACACCGATTCATTGCATTGTAACGATTACCAATAAGTGATAGAGAACAAGCTTAGGCTAGAGATAGAATATATTTAATATGAATAGAAGATACAAGATAACATTCAGCTGGTACCACGCCTGCAAGGCCGAGCCATGCCACCTGACCAACTCGTATTAATTCAATTCACTGTCCCCGCCTTTCTTCATTGTTCGGTATTTCCCAGCGTTAAATGTTGAATGCCTATTTTTCGTATTGTCTTGTGTTAGGGCCCGATGCCACTACAACTTCCATGTAAGATCTTATAGATTAGGCAGTTGCATCATAACAAATCTACAATTTATGGAATATTTCTATTATTAGAGCAATACTAATAGCATAGTAGGTCATAATTAGACATTATTGGTGATGGGTAGCCCGCTCGCAGCACTTTGTCGGGCATTCTTGTTCCATTTTCTCACACTCTCTTGAGAGCACGTAGCAAACCGTCAGCGGTAGTTGTAGAAAACAAATTGCATGCTACAAAATAAGATGACAAGCTAGCAAATGAAAAGATATCCACGAAATACCGTCGGTTACCGACGGAGTTAGTCGTCATTGATTTGAAATTTCAGTGAACGAGTTGATTATTCTCCCTTGGGCTGCGAAAACAAAACTGAAATGCTTTTGATAAGTAGGTTATCGAACTGACGTACCTACGAAAGTCGATTCTAGGGGGAAGCTGATGTAACAGCTTAGGTCGATTGGTTAAGAGTTGATCTCAAGCAACTAGGCATATGTCAAAACAGCATAGTTCAGATATTTATTCACTTCTTTATTCTGCATAGGCGTCATATTCCTGATTATCTTATATTGTATGTTGAGAGGCTTTGTTTGTCTGAGTAAGGAATCCCACACTCCACTGTGACTGCGCGAAGACCAAAATAAAGACCTATTTTCCTACGAGTCTGGTTTCTTCCCATGCAGGATTGTAAATATAAGGCTACTCCACACACAATTCCTGTTTTTCCATCACAGCGAAATAAAAACATCCAAGATATTGCTAGCTCCTGGTCCAAAAACTGAGAAAATATCCAAGTTTCAGATATTCCTGTCTGATGAACCTTTTTAGCATTGCTAAGTTCACGTACCTCATCCGTTTTGTTTGGTTGACTCGCGTCGTTCATGTATAAGCAGTTAATGCTTTCAAATTAAAACGCGTGAGCTTCTTCCTGTTTGTCTGTGAGAGCCTTACGTGAGTGGACAGGTAACCCACCTATGTAGGTTTTGTTGAATTAGTAGGCCCTGTCCTTTACACATTTTTATCTTCAAGACAGTCCACAAGTGGAATGGTCAGCTCTAACTTGCCTTTGTGCTTGATTCTGGCATCATATGGCCTGTCCGGGTGCATATGGATTCCAGTTGGCAGTCGACGTCAGTTGGCATGAAAGGCTGTGAGAGTTGCAGCCGCCATGTGGGAGGATGGGAAGGTCATCTTCATCAGCCAGGGTCTAGAATCTCCGTACTTTTTGTCTAGTCTCATCACTTGTTGAGTCATTATGTTTTTGAGCTTCATGGATTGCTTGATGAATTTCCATCCCCTAATATCAGAGTTTGTGTGGTCAGGGTCCGTGTTTTCCGGTATACCTTGCATAGCGATATTTCTTCAGCGGAAAAGCTTCACGCGAGATTCCTTAGGGATGTTCCGGATGAGATCAAGCTCAGAATACAGTGTGTCAGCCAGTATCCTTATGTTCCTATCTGATTTCAGTAAGTGACTAGCTAGTAGGATATCTTCTACGTCGGTAGCGTTAGTGAGTAATACAATAAGTAGTCTTGGGTGATTTCGGCGCTTAGAGTTCATTCTCCTAGTGAGCTTTGTGATCATCAGAGACTCTACTTTGGGAATTTCCAGCTTCTTATTTAACTCTTCCCGGAGCATTCTGTTATGTTTATCCCGCAAAGTGAAGGGAAGTTCTGGGCTGTCTTTAATGTTCATAATTATGAGAGAACCACCACGAACCGTTGTTGTTTTCCCAAGTTTTCGGGTGCGTTAGGGACGAAAACCTTGTCGTTTGGAGGTCGAAACGCATTTCCGATTCCTAGGCTCTTTGCTGACAGGATGGACATTTTTGGGGATTAATGTGCAGCTAAATCATCGATTAATTTCCCCACAATACTTGAGACACTCAACTCCTTAGACGTCTGGTCCTTTTTGACCTTTTTAACGGGGTCCAATCACCTAAAGAATTTTTGGGAGCTACCGTCGCATTCAGGGATCCTGTACCGGGAAACCCAATTCTGTTGAGAAAGTCTATTACCGTCGATGTTATGTTGGTGCTGCGTTTCGGTTTGTCATTAACAGTGTTATCACACCCTTCATCGTTAGCAGCGCCGTCAAAATCGCTTCGTGGAACCAAGTTTTGCAATTGTCACACTGCATGACAGACGTAACGGCAATACGACATCATGGTCGTACGCATGAATTTTTCGTGTTTATCGTAACGTTAATTGTCTTATGGATCCTAACAAAGGCCTAAGACCGTAAAAAAACAAAACACTAAAAACGGGTAAAATCGGAAAAAGTAGTGGTCGAAAAGGTTAGGATAAACTGAAACTAGTCTTTAAAATAACCGAATAGTAAGCTGAGACAAAACCTTAGTTAACTATTAAGTTGGGTAACACCCAAAAAGAAAATTATTCTACCGAATGTACAGCTCGAGACGGATTCTTAAGATCAGAAATGGTAATTTTGTTGCGTAAGAACACTGCAAAAGTTTAAGAGATGTAAACCACGTTATGACTAGACTTCCCGTCCGTAAAGTGCGCAATCAGTGCAGTCGCTTGTCAAAAAGATGTCTGTTACTCGAAAATGTAGAGAGCCTCATTAATATCAAGGTTAAGATCTTAGATTATTGAAAACTAAGTTTTGGTAGCTACGAAAAAATTTTTAGTATGCATGATGTTGTTCAAGATAGCTTTCCGCGTCGTTCGTTGAGAAGATCGATAGCATAAGTATAACATAAGTATACACCCAGCCGATATTTTATGATCAAGTTTGTTTAAGTTGTCCAATAACCTTTGCCGCAAATCAAAACTGGTGAATGACCTTTGGGGCGTAGCTTTGACATTTGTGAGCAAATCGGCGTACAAGGACATTAGCAAGATTTTAGTGCCAGTAAAACTGCGTTGTAACTCATCAATATGAAAATCGTAAAGTGATGTCTGAACTAAACTATTTTTATTTGTAAGTTCATGGCTTATCAGGAGTATCTTTTAATATTAAAAAATTCTCATTGTTTAAATAAAGTCATGCAAAATTTTTTCATTTACCTCTTATGTGTCACAAATCAACACATTCAAGTGAAAAGTTGATGTGTGCATGATAAAATGAACTATGAAATTATTAACACCACAAAGAATTAGCGAAAGCTTACAACTTATATTTCTCTGTCACAAGGAACAACTATAAATATTAGCCAGTAAATTCTGGAGTTCAATTACAATCACGCTTTTTAGTGTTTATGTAATGAACGAAAACTCTGGGTGGAAAACCATTTATTTGTTTTACGCGAAATTATATTGTGCCTTCGCAAAATATTAAATACATCATTTGCATATCTTTCTTGACTTGTCCTTTACGCACTCCACAATTTTCCCAATCCTGTTGTCATTCGAATTACTCTCTGTCTTCGCTTTATTTCAATCTGCTGGTAAGCATTTCACTTCGGGTTTCTGCCACATACTTCTTCTGTCCTCATAAATAGCACACATCACACTTGCACTTAAATATGTATTACTAATATTACTTAATTTGTTTAATCCGGTTGGCGTTTTTTAGCAAGGTTTCTACGGGCTGGGGTTTCCGACCCAATGCCTTACTTTCCTCCTTTACATGGGCTTTCGACCGACAGTAACTCTAAAAGAGCTTCAGTCGGAGTTTATTACTAATATGTGACAACATAAATTGGGACTTACAATTATATTTTCTAGAATTGTGCCCTGATTTTATGAAGTGGAGGGAGACGCCACTACAAAGTAATATTTACACCATATGTCCTTCTATGATGATGTTCATTGAACTTATGTTCAATGTCACGGAGACAACACTGTGTTGCGATGTCGTACACCTTTACAATATCTTTTTACAGTGACATCAGGAGGAAATTTTTGTATTTAAGTGTATTGCCTTCTCTCTATTTTGGTGCATAAATGTTTATTCATTTCTCTAGAAATATGCTATTTAGTTTTTGTCTTTTTTCATCAATGAAACTATCTTTTCCATTACAGATTCCTCACCTTAAGCAACTGGCTTTGTTGACCTCCTAAGAATTTTGTCATTTATAGGGATTCCTCATGAAAAGAGGTGGTGGACCGAATGAGTTAGATCCCCCACCAAAAGTCTCTAAGACTAGAGAGTCTGTGGATGGAGATGAATGTGTTGGCGATTGGCAAGTATGTTACACATCAGTTCATATTTTACTGTTCAATCCAATATTGATTGGCTGTTGTGTAACTCATGTTTTTACAAGTAACCGCTATTTTGCAGATAAATATTAAGGAATGAGGTTAATAGTTGTACGTTTCGTTTGCCCTCATTCTTACCAACGAATTGTTGGGAATATTTGTGGATTTGATATATCAGAGTTGTTGTCAAAGTATTAATGGTTGTTTTGAAAAACGAGTCTTTGTATAGCCCAATGACAGTGCTGAATAAATAATACTTCGGTGCTAGTATTTCTTCATCTTGATACTTAGTCTATCCGTGTACGATCTTTGACTTTTTGACAGCTTTTGTTTACTGAAGATTGTTGACACTCAATGAAAACACCACTAAATTGATAACGAGATCTTTTAGTATGTGTTTGGTCATTGTGAAGGCCACCACTTAAATGACGTTAACCTAAGATATTGACTTCGGTGGTGTGAACTGGTTTTGGATGTCATGTTAACTGAACCTAGTGGGATTAAAGGAAAAGTAGTTGCTTTATGACAGTATTATTGAGTGGAGAATAGCAGTATTGAGTTGTTTTAAAGGCTATCCAGTTGTTGTAACGTAGGGCAAAGTCGCAAAGCTGATATGATTTTCGTTGCCTGTTACTTCTCACTTTGATTATGGAGTGACTTAAAGACCCAGTCAATTAGTACTATCTCAACTCTCCTGTCTTAAGAAATGCTGGAATTAACGAGGCTGGCTAGCAGTTCCATAATATCCCTCGAAAAGTACGCTCTCAGAACTAACTGTTGGGAAAATTCTTGCTTCCTCGATCCCAAAGCTCATATTTACCGTTGATGTGAAATCAAGATTTACTCATAAGTGATCTCTGGTTCCACCATCCTCATTTGAATACGAGGCATTTATTTTACTCTTTATTTTTCGTGGAAATATTTTGTCAAATCAGTTAATGAAGTTTCTGTGATAAAAGTATTAAATACATTAAATATGAATCTGTACCATAATGTGTTGTTTAATTATCCCGTAACGTGCCCATAAATTAAGTAGCTCACTTCTTTTAACCGTCTTTGAGTAATTGTTTTTTTGTGTAACATAGGCATCACTTGGATGTTCATTAGCGGAAAGACTGGAAAAAATCACTACTGTCCAACATTTGACAACACGCCAAGTTAAAAGGTTGTTAAAGGATGTCCTGACTAATGAGGATGTTGTGAGTGCTCTACGTCGGTATATTGACGGTGAATTCAGAGAGCCTGAAACCGGTGAGGTTTCGGCAGCTACTCGAAGGCGTGCTAAATCTTTGGGGTTATTCTCTATCCTCAGTGATCTTGGAGAAAATTCAGATTATCACCTGGAATCTAGAGCTATCACTCGGTAATTCATGTTGTTTTTCACTTTTTTGAGGCTTCTGTTATATAGTTCGTATGGTGCTATCAGATTTAATATAGAGGACTTAAATTATACTTTTTGTATTGGGATACAAACAAACGATTGTTGTGTCGGTTGAGCGAGCCTGTATTTTGATGTTATCTGTTAAAAATATTTATAGCGGTTACGTTTGTTATCATTTGTCGCCCTTTAAAAAACACTAATGGGAGCACACATCCACCTAACTTAGTTGCTCCACAACAATAATGAGGTTAAACAGTCGCCTAATCTCACCATCACCATATATATATATATATATATATATATATATATATATATATATATATATATATATATATATATACCAACCACTACTTGTCGTTGTTTGCAATTAGTTGAAACAGTAGACGGATAGTCTGCTATTTATATACCTGACAATGGATTACTGCAGGGTATTCATTATTAATTTAGTCGATTTCAAAGCACTTTATTTAATTTTCAAGCTAGTACAACGTCTCAGGTAATGTAATGTTATCACGAAATCAGTAGACCATCATCCTCTATCACACACTAACTTTAAGAAGAACATTGATCAAACATAATTTGCACACTGAATTCCTTTACCCGGAGAATAAATTTAGTTCGCAGATTGTAGCGGATTTTATTACTTACAATTTTTGCATTACGCTTTATTCCTTTTAAATTTTGTTCTCATTATTTTTACCTTATTTTCCTCCTTCCCATATTCGTCATGATTCTCGGAAACCAGCTAAATCTCAATTTAGTTGTTGGTTTTGCCATCTTGAACTGAGGTGGATAAGTATTTTCGCTAAAAACTTTATTTTGTGTTTGTACTTTCTGTGGGACTCCGTGTCACAATATGTTATTATCTAGTTTTGATTAACTGTATTAATCATTTCTATACAAACACATTAAAACCAGTTATTAGGTCTGTAATCGTCATCACAACGTCTTTGCTCTACATTTGGTTGATATTACCTAGGTTCTAGTTAACCAAATCACTTTTTGGGTCTAGTTTACTATGCACATACGTACAGCTAGAAGTCAGAAAGAAATTATTTTAACATTTAAGAACAAAGCATCTTTAGTTCTATCACGCTCTTGTAAATAGATGTGGTATCAATTTTCCAATTTCTTGCTAATGTTTACATGGAGATAAACTTTATGATCACTGTGGTACCACTTATTAAGTTTCGATAATCTATTCATACCATTATCAACTTGGTATTTGGGTTTATAAAATGAACGCTTTAGTATGTTAATTTCTGAAACCTCATGTTTTAAGGCATTCAATATTCCGTTTGATGTATATCTCTTTGCTTCTTTTCGTTTGTTTCAACTTTCCTTAATGTTTGGCATAGATCACACAGCTTAGTTTTCAGTAATTATCTATCTACGTTTTCACTAAATATTGAATACTTCAAAATGGCGGATATGTTGAGGAGAATGAATTATGTATTGAGTGTCATGAATGTCACTTATTGCTTTAAGCGTCATATAATTTATGAATTGTATATCAGTGCTAAAATGTGTGATCTAATTTATACTTTACTTTGGTTTCTACTTTCTTACTCTTTGCTTTGTTAAGTATCTAATGTGGTTTTTATCATGCTACATTGATGTCTTTACTGTCCAACTAACTGAATTCATATTTTAGTAAATACCAGCGTTTTCACCTGTAACTGTAAATAAAAAGTTTTCAGAGGTTAGAATTCCCAGTTTAGTGAGTATTAGCATTGTAGTTTGTTGTTTTCCTTTGTTGGTTTCCAACAAAATATTCCTATATTAACAAAGTCGGTGTATTTGACTCAGTGAATTAAACATGTAATGACAAACTTTATTGATGGCCGATTAATTTCTTGTGTAATGGTTGTATTTATCTGTTTATTTTGAATAAATTCTTCAGATCACTTACTCGTCGTATTGAAGAGTCATTGCAAAATCAGTTTCCACATTCTATTACACCCGAAAAAAAAGCACCATGCACCATTCTTGATATGGAATTCCCTGACGAAGATGATAACAACGGAAAAAATCTAGGAAACGATTTGGATATTTCATTGACCGATAGTGATTACCAACCGAACGATGGAGATTACAAAATTTTAAGACGTGACGAAGTGCTAGATTTTACGGAAGCCTCTAAACATAATTCCTGTGTTACAGATGTAGAAAATGAAAGTTGTTTCAATGGTAGTAGAAGTAGCACTGAAAGTGATTCACAAATAGATCTTGACTCTTGTGATGACTGCATCCAACCTAACAATGTCGATAATTCTGTTTTCTGTAGAAACGATAATAATTTAGATATACGAACTTCCCGTCTCACTCGTTCAAAAGCTAAATCACTCAAGAATTTATCCGAATTAAGAAACGGTGTTTCTTTTGAAAAACATGAAAATTCTAACTCCAGCGTATCATTTCGACCGGACGATGCTGTTGAATTTTCGCCTCCTGGTAGTTCTCATCGTTATCCGGATGCAGAAGAGGGTGAAGAAGAAGGAGAGTTGAATGCAGCAGAGGACATAACAAATAAAAATTACAGTTCAACAACAAATAAAGATGTAGATATTGAAGATTCAGATAATGATGTTTATACTCAATTTCTTCGTTCGCTGTTCACTTCCGCTTCCAATTCAGCAAACTGTACGCCTAACAAAGTGTGTTACAGGTTTTAGTATTGGTATAAATTTCCTTGTGCAATTATTTTTTAATCTTTGTGCTTTTTCTAAATATTTTATCTGTTCTGTATGGTTGTGATAACCTATGTTATGGAGATTCAGTGTGGTATCATAAAGTGATTAATATTAAGTCATAGTTGTCTTTGGATCCTCAAACAGCTTCATGAGTTATAACGCTTATGTATGCAACCTTGGTCAATAGCTTTCTGTATTTCAACTTAACCGTGGCTACTACCGCTATTTGCTGTGTTCGGAAATTTTCAATCCGTTGACCCTATGTATGTGCTCTCTTTCAACTTTCTATTTCGTAATCACAAACAATAGTGTACTTTTAAATAAGATAGCTTCTTATAATCTAGCAACATACAATTGTCACTTAGAGATAGGTTTTTCACAGTACGTAAAAAATAAGTGGATGATAAAATGTTTAACTGACACCTTAATAGTATTTGGACCTAGTGAGGATGAAACTAATGACTTAGCTGTTCATTTTGGTACTATCTATGACTACAGGATATCTGAATTTTCGACGAAGCTTAGACATTCCTTTGACTGTCTGCAATCCAAAATTAAGTGGAGTACATAACAGTATTCGGTTACGTAGCAATATCACCGCTGTCAATATAACTATTGACCCTGTGACCAGTTAATATGGTCATAATATATTACGAATCAATCGGTTATATTGTATTTAGTCCAATCCTCTTACAAATGGTCATTCCAGGACTCGAATAACTTAGTAGTTATGTTCGTTGTAAGTTAGAAAATCCAGGGTATTAATTTGACGAGGTTTGTAGATATACTTTAGTCAGTGACAACCAAAAACATGATTCAGAGCTTATTGACGGTTTTACTGAGTTATATGTAATCATTATTTTCAGAATATATATATATATATATATATATATATATATTTAAGCTGAGCATCTCCAAATTCATCAGTTATAGATTATCACCACCTATATTAATTTTCATAGCTTTTAAATCACTAACTGATCTTAGTTAAACTACCACTGAAAAGCTGGAAATATTTGCAGCATTCATATGTACTACTGAAAATTGCTAGTCAGTGTAAAACTGTCAAGTTAGATATAATTATACGCTTAAGGTAAACATTGAAATGCACCATTTCATTTTAGATTCAACTGTAACTTGCTTTTGCATTTTCTTGATGAACGCATTACTAAAATAATCATGATTTAAAGTTGGTTAGCAAACAGTGTTTTAATGTTGAATACTAAGGTCTTATTCTTGTAATAAACTGCTGCATAACTGTTCAATTTTACCTTACTTTTCAGTCAAATTCACGAATAAATGCTCCAATTAGAGCGTCTACAGTCTGTGAAAAACTCTTAGGCGATGAACCAAACAAAAACGACAGATTCCCATCGTCAAACGAACATCATTCTAAAGGGACATCGCGGCCAATATCAAGGCTTATGGATGATATCAATGACGATGAAGACGATGATGATCCAGAATTTGACGTCATGGCAGAGTTAGACGACGTCGATAGGGAGGATTTTTTCTATGAATTACGAGACGATCGCGCTGTTCGAGTATCTAAAATGGAAGCCAAGGTTCGATGTATTTTAAGTATACCGTCTTTATATTATAATTGAATCTTCAGTTGTATTAGTATAAAAATGTTATTAAATAATGGTTTGATTGAAGTTGTCTTCAATGGTATCGTAAATTGCTCTATGTGGATGCTTTTCACTGTTAAATAATTTCATACTATCTAACCGAAATATAATCGAAACTTTTGTTAAAATCTATTTGATGTACAGATCACAGATTATCTGATCTATCCAATTTACAATATATGGTATATCAACGTTTTCGTTTAGCAAGTGACGTGAAAAACTCATCTTAAAAGTTAACTTCCTACTTCCAGGTTTAATTGAATTGTCGTTTAAAAATGATATTACTATTTAAACAGACTCACTAAAATGTTTTGTTGGATGAATTCTATTATGTATTGAAACAGGTATGTTCAGAACGTCAGATACGTTTGGAGGGTCACTTAATTTGACTGTGAATGTGTGTTAACAAAAGCAATTATACTGTGTTGAATCGTTCACACCAGCGATCGATATTCAAACTCTTATAAATAAACATCAAGAACTTAAACCATTAAGTAGTAGTTCATGTATTGAATAATTCACTTCACATTTTGATTCAGCACCTCAATGATAAGCATCCGTATTGATCAGTGCTACATTGTCATTCTTCATTTTAAACGCTTAAGACATCAAAATTGTTAGATTCTCATGCAGAATACTACATTCTCTATATTGAAATTCAGAAGGTGGTTTGATCAATCCACTTTAATTCAACTAATCGCATTGTAAAAAGTCACTAGTCTTAAAAATTATTTCTGCAGATAAGTTTAGAGCTATATGAATTGTAATTAATCGTCTTAATGTTGAAAGAAAACTTACCAACATCTAAGATATAAAACCTGTCATAATCAGATTCACTTACTTGACGTACAAAGACATTTTTAATTAATGAAATTTTATACCTATTTCAAATTGAAAAGCGGTGTCGTTTATTGTAAATGTTGCCAATGCTAACAGCATAGTTAAGATGTTCACCCATTTGTTATTGTTATTAAAACAGAACAAGATTTGTAAACACTCCTTAATGTGTGAGTTGTTTCATTCTCAAATGAATTTTCTTTGCAATCTTCTTAAAACATTGGAATGATAAGTTTTCAGCTGCTAGCTTTTAACATTTCACATATCTAGTCAGTCAATTAACTTTTTTTTGTACATCTTTCCATACACAACAGTTAATGACCTCATTGATCTATGTTGTTTTATTTTTCAAACGTGATAATAATTAGTATAATATAGATATGTGGCGTCGTCGTCTGATATCCATTATTGGGAAGTTTTATGAATGCTTCGCACTGTCGCTTTCTTTTGGTGATTCTTCCTATTTTATATGTGTAACACAGTAATCTAAGCTTAATAGAACGTAAAATATTCGGGAATTCTTCAGTATATTTTATTTCGCACTATAATCATGACAATAACAATTAAAGTTATTACTCTAATGAATCACGACATCTTCAATGGCTTACACCTGTCAATGATCATTTAGCTAAATGTATTGTGTAAATCGATAACTTATTGAATTCTGTGACTGGCAACAACTGGAACAAAAGCGCCAATTACCACGCATATTGATACTGATATAGATTGAAGCTACAACGATCTATTTATTCATTTATCTGTTTAAACACATAAATATTGATCCAAGGAGACACCAAATATATATGCACCAAACGTCGTCATTCGATTTGTGTGAGGGTTGGAATACTGCCAGGGCGCCCAAACCGAGGCGGGTAGTTTTCTTAGGGGGCCACTCCCCGAGCCTTTGACCTAGAGGTCTAGTCCACAAGATAGTGGAGCAATCTTAGGAAATGCAGTCCCATGGTATCCGGTAAGCAACAGTAGGTTCATACGCCATTTGTTGCCTTAGGATTCTGGAGCTCATGTGCATGATTGGTTTGGGGTCAGGCCTTTCCAACTTCCCTAGGTGGATGTTCTATATCCACCAATCCGGTTAAAGTGCCGGACATTCGCTTTTCGTCCTTTCAATTTCGTAAACAACATCGCTGCGAGTAGGACTTCTCTGGCATCGGCTGCATACACATGGTCATGTGAGATCATTTCGAGAGGGAGAGTGGAGTCTCCCCACCGTCGACCGTACCAGGGCATTTGGGAACTATAGCAATCTAAATAAACGGTATCACGTAACAGCTCTTCTTAATTACTACTGCTAACTACACGACAAAATTCACTTGGCATTTTTTACTTGAAACTTTCCATTGATGTTTAGGACTGCAATTGATCAGTCACTTATTGGCATATGTGCATACTGTGCGTATTGCCTATATATTGCCAGTAGCTAAGTGGATAACGCGGTGGCGTTCGAAGCGAACAGTACTGGGTTTGGGTCCCAGAGTTTACATCAACTTTGAGATGCAGGTTCATCCAGCTGACGAGTCCCAAATAGGACGAAACGCGCGTCCTGGATTCCACTGCTAACCACCATCCATCTTTGCTTAATATACGAAAAAATATCTAGCTATCACAAAACTTACTGAATGGTTTTACAGTGTATTTTCCAAGCTAGTTAGAATTTTAATCAAGAGTTTTAAGTTAAAATTATTATTTGTATCTGTTCAGAATTTACATGAAGATTTACGTGAACTGTTTAGTTCAGAAGAAGGACATGAAAATCGTACACATCAATCCAAAACACCTTTATTCCTGGCAATGAAAGCTTATGGTCAACGTTTGTTTCATATGGATCGCAATACATTTCGGAATAGTAGTCAAATAGATGAGTCTAACAATCCACAACATATTCAATCTTCTGGACCGAATGAGATTTTTCAAAAGACTACAGATACTCCGGTTAATCCAACTGTAACACGATGTCGTATCACGTTAGTCATAGCAATTTCATTCCGTCTATTTCCTCTCATACTGAACTGAATCTTAAGACTGTGTATTTTGGCATTCTCTGCAAATTGTGTGTATTTTGTGCTTTATTGTTTCTGACACTTATTACCATTTGAGTAAAATTTGACTGTATCTTAGGTGGTTACACAACAAACCCTATGTAGGATTATTTTTAGGGCCAATAGTTCGAGCTAGTGTGATTATTAGCGTGATCTATAAAAGTCAAATGTGATCCCTTCATCATAGTTGACCTTTTCTAAAAAACGAAGAGCATGTAAGTCAGTCTGGTGATTCTAGTGAGATTTGTCTAACGTATTTTAAGGTTTCAAAACTAGAAAATTTCTGTGTGACTGGCGGATTTTAGTCCTGGTGTAGTTATCTAATTTTAAGAGATCCTACATAGTCTGTTAGCTTTCAGCCTGTACTTTAAGTTAACATTTTAGTTCATCGGTTGTGAGGTCTTGTGCAAAGTTTGTGGCGAATATACTACTACACCAAGAGCTATTTACGTTTAGCTTAAAAATAATAAGTGAAGTAGTTGCTAAATACGTCAGTCCCATCATATCATCCCAAATATCAGACTATGAAATTGAGTGTTATACGCTTGAATCCACCAGGGAACATCAGTCACCTTAAGGTTGCAGGTGCATACCTTGTTGAAGCGTCCTAACTATCATGTAACCCAGGTTCAGCGTTTCTTGTTGGCTATCTTCAGTTGTCGGTCATATCAAAAGAAAAATAAGATGTTATGCAGTAATGCCCGAGTAAAATGACCATTTTCTCAACTGTACCATACATCTTCGTTTAAAGTATTTTTAATCGCTTCAATATTATGTAAGACTTAATAACCTGGACTAAAAGTAAATGGTTATCATAAATATCTGTTCCCACTATATATAAACAATTAAACGGTGTCATGTGTGGTGAAGAAGTCATAACTATAATTATGGTCTCATGAGTGGTATATAAACATTAATATCGACAAAGGAATGAAAGCAAAGATTTTTCTTAAAAACTACCCCAAGAAATTGAGGTGAGCAGTTCTCATTTTTATCTACATGGTTTGATAATTTTTTTGTCTATCATAAGAGTTGCATCGGCACACAATACAAAAGACTATAAGGTTTTATAAATTTCTCATTTCAAATTATGTATACAGCGTTATTTAGTAACTAATCACATGTTTTCGTATTCGACTTTAAACCACACTTGTCCAAGAGGCAATCAAGTGGGTTGCCAAAACCGAAGTAGGTGGCAGGGCATGATCAGAACCTACAGCGTACCAGTTGAAAGCTAAGTGCTATAATCGGTTAGGCACAAATCGATTATAATGGTGCGATTGATGTTGATGATAAATTTGTTGGTGGATTCTCTGGTAGATTTATCCGATTATATTTCCAGTTTTATGTAGAAAGATAAGGTTGTCTTTGTGTGACTTCATTTTTATATCTTCATAAAAAATGTGTTTTTCATTGAGACCTTTTAGTGAACATCTTCATCTAAGCTTTCTGGCTTGTCAATGTTTTAAAAACGACGAAAATGAAGCATGATTTGTGTTGTTTCATATATATATCCCATCAATCCCCCAATCACGATGTTGAGGAGGGATTGTACCTGTAACATGCACCTCACTAGTAATTCTTTCAAATATAATCTATTAGAAGTGTTTATATATTTTTTATTTTATGAAACAACAAATACTTTTGACTTTATTTTCCATTTTTATAAGAAATAAATTTCATTATTGTCATTATGATATCATCTTGTTTGTAATTCGTATTTTTTTGTAGCCTTACTGAGACAGAACTGGTTCGATTGGAACGTCAATTAGTAATGCATATTCAATTGTTAACTACGAATTTCTTATTAACTTACGATTTTCCTGATATGCATGAATATGTTACCCGACCATGTGCTACTCTTCTCAAAACTTTAATTGCTAAACGTCAAGCTTTTGATTTAGTTGCACTTCAACAAAATATTCCCGATAAATATCATCCTGTTACAAGCTTCTATTGGTGTTGCCCTACTTTGGAAATGGCTGTCGATTTGATTTCCGATTATGCTGGATTATCTATGCTTCCACGTTTACCATGGAATCCGTATAAACGAGGAGTAGGAAATAGTCTTACTAAGTCACAATCATTCGCCTTGCCTATCCCATATTGTTTACTACGTATAATGACTAACAGTCCTATTTGGTCTTATGCGTGTTTAATGCCTACTGTCTTGGGGCCACATCCGAAAAGTCATGTCCGATTAATTTTTCATCCATCTGAAGATGCTTTAATGGTAATGGGGTTGGCAGACTTTTCCGGTGCATTAAGTCGAACTCGTAAATCTCTCGAACCTAAAACTTTTAATTATCACCACCAATCTAGAAGTCGTGGATCTCAGTGTAAACAACCTTGTCGCTACATTGCATATCGTTTAATCGGTAGGCATATACTTCCGTATCGTACACTATTGCAGTTACGCTCTCGTCGTTGGAATCTGTTGGCTAATCGCGACAGTATCGATAATGCAGGGGACTCCAAACACATACCAGTTGCTACTCGTCGTCTACTTCAACTCTACACTGAGTTAAGTCAACCAGGGGAAGTGGACCTAAAAAGAATTCAACAGTATGCTAATGAAATGACTACACTTGCTGCTCCTTATGGTCTTCCACTAATTGTTGAGTGCTTAACTGATAAGAATTCTAAAGATTTATTTACTTTTGAAGGGCTTCCCACCGATGTAGGTTATGAGCATGTTTTGAATTCTAACTATCGTAGTGAAAATGCAAAACGTAGATTGGATGTATTAACTGAGTTCATAGAAAACGCCGAGTGTTTTTGGAGGTCACAGATTGAAAAAACGCACTCTATAGAAATGAAAACAACAACAAACTCAACAGATGTAGAAGGTGAATCCATAGTCAAATTAGAACCACCAGTTGAATGTGATGTGCTTGGTCCTAATTATTTACCTGCTATCCCAGTGGATCTCAATCCTGACGGGTAGGTTCTCTCTTTGAAATAATATTTTTAAAGTTTCATGGTTATCATAAGAATTGATAGTACACAATATTGTGGTGGGTCCCCCTCCTAATTTATTCCAAATAGGTATCGATAGGACAGACATTACTATGTTGATATGATTGAGAAAATATGTAGCTCAAGATATGAATTTCTGAAATCCTATGTTCTCTCAGGTGTATTATTTAATCTTGAAGCTTTTATTATCTTTTTTGAACAATATCGTCAATATATACTACAAAAAAGTATCGCGACTAAACTGTCCAACTGAAAAAATGCAACATCCTCTTCCACGGGTGGTAGTAAACTGATATATCTTCACAAGTTTCTGAAATAGTCATTTTATTGATTAATTATTTCAACCTATTAATAGTTGACTGTAGTTAAAATTTACACGATACCTCTCCGAGTCCACTTAAATATGATATGGTGTAGTAACTGGTTAATTACTGCATTGAAAAAATGTCCCATTGACCTAGTTGGTTGTGAGGTTATTCAATCGAGGATGATTTTTAGTTAACTATAAAAGCTTAGAGTTGATTTATTGTAGAGGAGAACAAACCGACTAACCAAGTAACGTGAAACTCTGTTCAATTAGATAAATTATCCGGAGGTTGGTGAATATCTAATGACTTCAATTCTTGAGATGTGCAAGAGGTTTGACCGTTTGAAAACACTCATTCTACTTTTCATTTAATGTGCTTGAAACAAACAGTTCGGTCGGATATCAAAGTTTAACTGAATGTTTATATGCCGAAAGGAAAACATTCTAATCACAAATATTATGCATGGTACTATTGTGTAACGATATTCATTTACGTATCTTATTGATTTATCATTTATTAATATAGTCTCTGACATGGTTCAAGTTCAGAATATCCATTATTTCATATATTAGCTACACTGGTCTAATATAGTGCTGTCTCATTCTTCCTACCACACATTTCATTTTCCTGTATTGATATTTCTTATTGTCCATTCAGTACCGTAGTTCTCAGCAAAACCAGTGAACCTGCCTTAGTTGAAGTTTTTAAAGTGTCTGATGATTCCGAGTCAATCCATGATTCAAATAATCACTCTGAAAATCCAGTTAATAATTTATCAAATCAAGAAACACAAAAATATCGAACCGTTCAACCTAAAAAATCACATCATATCGAATTTATTTTAACCCGGATAAACAAACAAAAGTCATATAAACTTTCAGATGAAGATAAGGTAGAACCATCAGCCAGTGCTGAAAATCATGATATATCAGATGGTATTGTTGCATCGTCCTCTGTTGAATGTATTGTAAATGATCAGCAGCTTGAGGAAATGCCAAATATTTTGGAGTCTTACTGGAGTCATACAGGTAATGATGCATTAGATGTTTGTCAAAAGGTAGCAGATGCTTTAGTGAACTTATTTCACTTTGGTTTTGATAAATTTTGTGCTGCCCGTGGAGACGCTACTCTTGGACCTAGAAAGTTTTGCCATATGTTGAAGTCATCAGTGTTAAATCCTCATATTCCTAGTGCAGATACAAATTCTGTATGTTCAAACAATTTTCAATCTGTTTTGGATTCGTCAATTTTTATTGCTGATGAGTGTCAGAGCCAAGCTGCAGGGATCTTCCCAAGTGCATGTCTTATGACATCCAGTCGTTTTGTTGCCAGATGTCGGGCACGTGGTGATGCTAACTCAGCTGACTTACTGACTCTACCATCTTCTATCATAACTCATACACAGGCAATAATGGATGAGATGGATGTGAGACGAGCACGTTCACTACTGGATCGATGTCGAACCTATTTAGCTCCAGGTGATTACAAAAATATGATGATTAACTTATCCAACTTAAGTCAAGCTATTCAGATTCCTACATTAATCACTAGTAATCATGAACAGTCAGACAAAACTGAAGTATTACTTTCTCTTGCATGTGTGTTAAATTGTTTGAAAAAACATTTATCTTTGTGGGAGGATTTTGTTTGCCTTCTTACTCCATCACAAGCGCGTAGTCTGGGTCTGCTATCTACATATTTCAATCTGGCACGGATCAACCGAGTGCAAAGAGTTTTACAAGATATTGTTCCCCGTGATAGGAGATTTTGGAGACGTCTTCGTAATTTGGCAGATAGCTGTAGCATTGAGGCACGTCATATTCCAGTTAAAAAGAAGTTTTATACAGGTGTGAGAGATAATTCTGCTCACGATCCTTCAAATGCAGATGAACAGGACCTCCATGATTGCAGTGAAAGCGCAACTAATGGGACTCGAAACATTCAGAAATCATCTGTGTTACAACAGGGTCAATGTTCAGGTACAATCTTAAGTAAAACCCGAACCAAATCCCGAGTTAGAGGTTTGCGGCATCGAAATATGCATGATGCATTCTCCAAAGCTTGGTCAGTTCTGGAGAGTACTTGGCGCAACCGTCCTGTTCTCCTTTCACGTATCGCCAGTCTTATTAATACTAGACATAAGCCATATGTCGGTTTTGAACAGGTTAGTGACGTCATTTTGTATAAATAATATCTATTTGTCATAAATAGTTTCATCAAACTATATATATATATATATACCCTAATAGAGGTATATTGTTTTAAACACTACTTCTTGAGATTTGACACTACCAAACAGGTAGGCAAGGCATAAGCAGGACTAGGATTTCGTCCTTTCAAAAGTAAAGTATATTATTCCTATATAAAACAGAAAGACTACTAAAAGGCACCTTCGGACTTTGATTGTGAACTGAATATAGTGTTGTTCGGAGGCATTAATTCGCAATATGTTAATATACGCTAATCGTTTATTTGATCCAAGTCCAGAGTCTGTTACCAGTGGTCTCGATATGGAAGCTGTATGAATTTCCACATTATTCAGTAAAATACTAGGTAATAGTGTGAATTTTTTTCGTTGTTTTTCAGAGTTTTGAAGAATCAGATGTACTTGCTCGTCATCCTGTAGGGAACCCAGCTTATCCCGAGATTTTAAATCAAAATGCAGGCATTTCAAGCAATAGATACATCCCTCCTCCAATCAACGCCCTTTCTCCTCAGTTACGATCCTTTCTTTCGGAAGGATGGGAAGTATGCACTGACCTTTCTTCAACAGCTCACAGTCGAAATAACTCGTTAGGTACACTCTGGGCTCGTAGGCAATGTCCCTGCCGATGTCATCCTAGTGCATCATCAAACAGTGTTCCAATAACAAATCAATCTGGAAAACCTGTAAAAAAGGTTGACAGTCTTGGTTTAAGACACTGCATTTCTTGCAGTTTGAGAGTAAGTTCACTTTTATTCCCAGGAGTTACTCATCTAGCTGAATTATGACAATATCTTTCAGGTTTTTTAGAAATACCATGTTTTTTGTCCTGAAGTAAGACCATCTTTCCATATGAATTCTTCGTTCATAGGTTAATTAATGCGAATGAGATTGCGCCGAAATAAGTCTTACCATTCGATGGAGAAACCAATTTTTTTGTTCTACTGTACGCTGTGAAGGGTAAGGAGGTGAAAGATGAAGCGGATTTCAGAAGCAAATCGGTAAACGCATAATATACTGACAGTCTTGAGTTAGTCATTCAGAATTAGGATAACTCCTTATGTATTCTGCGCGAAATCTACGGTGCAGTGACCGATAATTTGTATGTTATAATTAACTAAATGAAAATTAACAATAAGCGATTCTTAAGACGTCCGGAATCAATAAAAATATATACTATGCAACCAAAATATCAATTTAAGAAGGTGCTGAGGCTAAATGACAAAAAATACCTACTCCTAAGGCAGATTGTATGTTAAAGTACTTAATGGAATTCAACATGTAATCATGAGTGTTAAGTGAACTTAGATAATATTCTCCCTTTTTAACTCTTCCTCTAAATCTCAATCTAAGGTTTCTTAGGTTTGCAAACAGACGAGTGATAAAGCATTGGATTATAACTGTCGGTAATTCGTGATGGAAACCCTACCTAACCCTAAACTTCTTGCATTATAACTGGTGTCATTTGATGGAGAAAGCTCTACTGAATGAGAACTTTAACTCAGAATACTATTTTGAGTCCCAGTATGTAAACTTGACCTTCTTCCTTTACTAAAAAGAATAACATGGGATATGAGGGTTACTTGTTCAGATCAAAACTGTTATCCAACTGCTTTTTACTGTTAATTGTTTTGTAACTATCCAGCGTTTCCACATTGGCTGATAAGCCCCCGAATGCCCTGGTACGGCCGACTCCACTCTCCCTCTCGAAATGATCTCACATGACCACGTGTATGCAGCCGATGCCAGAGAAGTCCTACTCGCAGCGATGTTGTTTACGAAATTGAAAGGACGAAAAGCGAATGTCCGGCACTTTAACCGGATTGGTGGATATAGAACATCCACCTAGGGAAGTTGGAAAGGCCTGACCCCAAACCAATCATGCACATGAGCTCCAGAATCCTAAGGCAACAAATGGCGTATGAACCTACTGTTGCTTACCGGATACCATGGGACTGCATTTCCTAAGATTGCTCCACTATCTTGTGGACTAGACCTCTAGGTCAAAGGCTCGGGGAGTGGCCCCCTAAGAAAACTACCCGCCTCGGTTTGGGCGCCCTGGCAGTATTCCAACCCTCACACAAATCGAATGACGACGTTTGGCGCATATATATTTGGTGCCTCCTTGGACCAATCTTTGTGTTTGAATAACAGTAATACATCGGCCGATAAGTTGCTCAATGCCGTCCGTATATTGTCCTTTTATCCTTGACCGTTGTTACTACCTTGATGTTGCGGCCGGGTTGACCTATCGTAATGAACCAGTCGAGCTTTATTGGCTGGATAATCGTTCCTCAAGGTCCTACCATGTCAGACAGGTCGGTTGAAGATCGGTAAGACTAAGAGCAGCAAACCTATGGTCCGAGGGCGAAGTCGTACGGCTGACTGTACAGAGCTGTGACGGCAGTAAGGTGTTTCCTTCAGACAACCAGCATAACAGCGATGTTGCCTTCCCACAAGGAGGGGTGGGGTTAGAGAAGGTCGACCCTAAAAGTGCACACAGTCCGACGGTAAGGTCTCAACAAGTACGGGGCTAACACGAAAATTACAAAAAGGTCGTGTGTGACCGACCTCAAGCCGTTGTCCTTTAAGCACTGCTGTCACACTTTCAGGTCACTAAGACCACCCCTAACCCAATTTCCTTCTCAGGTACCTCCAGAAGGACCCTTCCAAGATGTGGGCAACTGAGAAGTGACAACCGCCCTCATACCTCGGCTTTGCTCTTCAATTCCTATTATTCCCCCAACCTCAACTTTGAACTTCCTCCTCAAGTGTCACCATGGTCAACGATTCTAGTGCGCGAAATACTGTGCCAGGTCTACTGAAACCTCACTCCAAACTACATATTGGAGTCTTCAACGTACGCATCCTGTGTTAAACCGGCCAGCAGGTTTCCTTGGCTAAGACTTTAGAATCTCGTACCATTGATGTATGCTGTGTCCAAAACACACATAGAAGGTCCTAGTGTTGTCATTCACCTGACCTCACCTCGCCAAAATGGGGACCCAACGAGATACACCCTTCGTTTATCTGGCGACCTGATGGCTAGTTCTTGTGAATTGGCGGGTGTAGGCACAGCACTGAGGACGAGAGCAGAACAAGCTCTATTAGAATAGATCCTCGTCAACGGCTCAGAAATATAGGGGTACACGTCGTTGCCTTTTCGTCGTTTCTGCCTACGCACTCAAGATGACTTGTATTCATGATCAATCTCTTCCTTCTATCGTTTTATCTGCAAGTCGTCTAGGATGAAGCCAACTATTTGGACGTACCATGTGAAATTTATTCAGTACCATGACAAATTAGGAATAATAAGTTCATTGGACTATCAGCATACCAATCATAGAATATAATATATAACATTCGTCAATTATCACCGTATATCACTGTCATTTATTTTTCAGGTGCATCGTGGCATTGTATATATTGATGAGTGCAATCTTCATCTGCGTCACGTGAAGATAACTTGGCCACCTGGTTTTAAACCAAAAGCTCATTTACCTCGAAGTTCCTTATCAGCTGACTCTGTTGCAAATCAAATCCCTCGTTCTGCAACAATTCACCATGCATCATCAAATATTCCTACTCGTACTGCTTTAAGCGAACTTGCGAAAATGCATGCCAGATTACATTCTACGAACAGAGTATCAAATCATCGCAATTTCCTACCGGATATGGCTGGTCGACGTGTTTCAATCGAATTTGTTCCTTCTTTTAAATCAAGTACATCAGACAGTCGACAAATCGATGATTTAAGCAATCAAGATGAATGTAATGCTCTTGAAGGAACTGACGACATTCAACTCTCCTGTCCTCCAATAGATAAGCATCCAAGACTAGTCGATGTACATAATAGAAGTGGTCTCATACCACCTGAATTACATTCGAAATTTGATGTAGAAAATCCTATGAGCTGGTCGCTGGATGATGAAGCTGCTTGCTTCAATACAGAAGCTTTTGCATCTACATACAATGAGAATCATGAAGGTAGTCTGTGTGAATTAGTTAATGATTGGACACCAGAAGAAGACAGGCAGTTATTGGAATTTTGTAAAGCTAAGGGACGTTACAGCTCTCAGATGTTTACAGACTTAGCTAGAATATGGGAACCCAAACCATATGTTTACTCTGCACAACGAAATCCACTGGAATTAGAAGAACGTTTTAAACAGCTCATGCGTATCACATTGAGAGAAGCTTATGATCCAGAGTTATTTCAAACGCCGTATAGAGACGAATCTTCATGTGAAGATGACTAATCATAATTTAACCTTATGTATTTGTGCCCAAACATTGGTTTTCCCATATTTACAGAATAAGTTAACCCGCATAAATCAAGTCTTTCATCTGTATAAATTTGTACAATATTACATAGACTTCTTATTAATTATCAACATATATTTATCCTCCCACAGCTCATTCTTCAAACCTTATACAATCCATGTTAGTGTTGCAAATTTTTGAAGTCACATAATTGTATATACTTTCAAAGTTCTTTATGAGATAACCTTTAAAAATCGTTTTGACTTGCGTATAGTGCATAGATCCGGTGATAAGTAATAGATTCGCTTGACTTTATGGAATCGATTAGATTATGTTAATGAGGATGGATATGATATCCTATTGACTTTACAACAGGGTAAACCAGTAAATTTGATTGAATAGTTTCAATGTTTGGGCGCCGAGTCGATGTTAGATATTAAAGAGGAAGAATGTATTTGTAAAATCTCAGCGAATGAATTTTAAGTCAATCCAACGTTTCACTTGGCAATACGGTCCAAGCGTTTTCAAGGAAACATAATCAAAATTATCGAATATAAATAGATACATGGTTCTCCGGTTTACTGTATACTGGATAAGTCATCCAATTAACGTTAACAATGTTTAAAGTAGGTATTTGCATTATTGTGTAAGAGACATGTAGTGTGAAACGAAAAGTGTTAAGATAACATATTGTGTGTATACGTAAGTGGTGTGAGAAGAAATTTCATTCACTATATAGTGTCTTCACTAATTAATCGTGGGATCAATAGCAACATTAAAAACCTATCGAACAGTACTCCTACTCTCGAATAAGCAACTGCATATCGTTGTCTGTAACGCTTGATTATATCTCAAACCAAATAATTTTGGGAGTAACATTCCATGCAATTAATGTGTATCTCATTCGTAAACAAACATCTTAGGAGCACCTAGGCCATAAGTTGATGGTTGTCTGACTCCCTCTCATCCTTATCTGTATTCATACTGGTTACTCGAGATGTAGATCGGTGGTTTAACTATACGACTACGAATAAGTTTCGTGTTGACTATTCTAATATTCGTGACAAATTCATATCTCGATTACTGGCCAATAACTGCAAGTAGAACCAAACTACTCTTGTCTAGATAACTTACGATTACGATAATATATTTTCTCTCAATACTGAAAACACATCTCATTTCCGTGCATGATGATTTTAACTGAATCTGTTTGTCAAAAGCTAAATATCTTGATTCTCCACGCTTTACAGACGCCCAACTGAAGCCATGTTTCCTGAATGTGATTTCCATTCTACAGAGTGCTGGAGTAATAGCCTATGAGTAGATAGGCCCATTACTTTGCTTCTCCTACTTATAACGTTCTCGACATGTGAAATCAGCCGAGTCTAAATCTCTTTCTCTGGTAGCTGCCTTTCAAACAAACTATGACATTCGGAGAAAGTATGTTACCATCCAGATAAACGGCATATCAGCTCGTCTTCAAATTGACACGGCATCAGATATCACCTTAGTGTCTAGAGCAACGTATAACTTGCTGGGTAAACCGCCAATGAAGCCATCTAAGAAAACGGCCAAAAACGCATCAGGTGGTGTGCTAAAACTGGTTGGTGGAACTAACTGTACAGGAATATGTTACCTAACAGAACGGTCAAACCTTGATCTTCTTGGTCTAGATATGTTAGATAAACTGGGAATAATGGATGTACCGATTAACAGTGTCTGCAACGTATCGTGTTTATCATTAGACACCCCAGTACTTACAAAGAAGACAGGTGAAAGGTTACTAGAAAAACTGAAAAGAAAGTTTGCCTGTTTTTCAGAATAGCCTTGACCACTGTACTAAGATGAAAGCTCATTTACCATTGAAACCAGATGCCAAACTTATTTTTCGTCCGAGACGTCCTGTACCATATGCTACTTTTGAGCTAGTCGAACTTAATCGCTTGCAACAGGTTGGTGTAATCCAACCAGTTAACTACTCTACATGGGCCGCACCGATCGTAGTGATTAAGAAGGCCAATGGAACTATACGCATATGTGCCAATTTCTCGACCGGTTTAAATGCTGCATTAGATGTGTATCAATATCCGTTACCAGTTCCTGAAGACCTGTTTGCCAAACTTAATGGTGGGACATGTTTCGCGAAAATAGACTTTTCCGATGCCTATCTGCAAGTGGAAGTAGATGAAGACAGTAGAGAGCTTTTGACCATTAACACTCATCGAGGGTTATTTCAATACACCCGTCTACCATTTGGCATCAAGATCGCATCTGCCATCTTTCAGCAAATAATGGATACGATGCTAACAGGTATACCTGGTACTCAGCTTATCTAGATGATATCATAGTTATGGGTTCAACTGACAATGTACTTTCTGATCGACTACATCAAGTGCTTAACCGAGTGTTGGAATATGGTTTCCAACTACGTGAGGAAAAGTGTATCTTTTTTATGCATTCGATCAAATACCTTGGTTTTATCTTAGATAAGAACGGTCGCCGACCAGACCCTACCAACATCGAAGCCATTCAGAAGATGCCTGCACCAACTGATGTCTCTTCATTAAGATCTTTCTTGGGGTTAATCAGTCATTACAGCACATTCTTGCCTGAAACGCATCGAGTGAGAGGTCCCCTGAATGAATTACTATCAAAAGATAAACCTTGGTAGAGGTCAGCAGAATGTCAAGCATCTTTCGACAGAGTCGAATCAATGCTCATCTCAAAGATTCTTTTGACACACCGATCCCAGCTTGGAAATTGTTGTTGCATCTGATGCGTCTAGTCATGGAGTTGGAGCAGTGATATCTCACGTGTTTCCTGGCAAATCAGAAAAGACAATTGCCCATGCTGCTAGATCACTTACCCCAGCCGAGCGAAACTAAAGTCAAATTGAAAAGGAAGCTCTTGCAATCACTTTCGCTGTAAAAAGATTTCATGAAATGCTCTATGGTCGTACATTTACTCTACTGACAGATCACAAACCTTTGATTGCAATCTTTGGTTCTAAGAAAGGAATCCCTGTCTATACGGCTAATATACTACAGCGCTGGGCAACAATGCTCCTGAGTTATGATTTCAATATCAAGTATCAGTCAACAAATACTATCGGTCAAGCCGACGCTCTCTCTCGACTAATTGGAGTTCAGCATCCTGGATCAGAGGATATAATCATTGCCTCCATAGCAGCAGACCCAGAAATACGAAGTATAGTGGCAGATGCCATTCGAAACACTCCAGTGTCGTCAGATGAAGAAACTCTTCGAGACCCGATCCTACAAGTTAGAAAGTTCCGCCTGGAAGGATGGCCCGCGAAGATCAGTTCCACAGAGCTTCAACAGTTTTACCAGCGTAGACTCTCTCAACCATCGACGACTGCCTGCTGTCTGCCGAACGTGTCATAATCCCAAAGAAGCTACAACCAGAAGTGCTTGAACAGTTGCATGCAGGACATCCTGGAATAAATCGCATGAAAGCATTAGCACGAAGTTATGTATACTGGCCACAGTTAGACACCCAACTGGAGCAGCTATCCCGTTCATGTACCAAATGTGCATTAGCAACGAAAGCACCGCGAAAAGCAGAGCTGCAATCATGGCCAATACCACAGTCACCGTAGCAGCGTATACACTTGGACTTTGCTGGTCCACTTCATGGACAAACTTACCTTTTGGTAGTTGATACATATAGCAAGTGGCCAGAAATCTTTCTCATGAAACACCCGACTGCAAGCTGCACAGTCAGTAGGCTACGTCAACTATTCAGTCGTTTCGGAGTCTCGGAATTGATAGTTAGTGACAACGGAACACAGTTTACGTCCGTCATCACACAATTTTGTCGGCAGAACGGAATCCATCACGTCCGAACACCTCCATTCCATCCCCAATCAAATGGTCAAGTGGAACGTTTTGTGAGTACATTTAAAAATGCTCTAAAAAATCTAAAGGGAAGGGGACCACCGAAGAGATCTTAGAAAGGTTCCTGCTTATTTATCGCTCTACACCAAACCCTCAGACAATTAACGGGGTCTCTCCAGCAGAAGCTCTACTTGGCAGAAAAATACGAACACATTTCGATGTCATCCGTCCTACGCCAGCTCTTGAGCCTCAACGAAACCTATCGATGGAGAATCAGTTCGATCGACATTATGGGGCACAAAAACGATTCTTCACGGTGGGACGAAAAGTACTTGCTATGGACTATCGTGAGAAACATCCTACATGGACAGCTGGTCGGATCTTGAAAAAGAAGGGGAGTGTGGTTTATGAGGTATCAGTTGGCTCAGAAGTTTGGGTACGTCATGCTAACCAATTGAAAGCAACTTCAATAGCCAGCAACGAGATTCAATATCGATTACCTCTTGATGTTCTGCTAGACACCTTTGAAATCAAAACGCCTGGAACAGACAGGTCAGTTTCTGTGCAAGCAAAGAGTGGTACTTCTTTATTGCCTAGACGATGGACAAATCGAAAGCACAGGCCAGTCACTCGGTTGCAGTTGGACCCTAGCACCAGATCCTACGAATCTGCTCAAAGGGGAGGTGTTAGCGGGACATAGATTGGATTAAAGCATGCTCAATGCACGATTGCTTTGGCGCACGCTGATTGGCTGATTCTTATCCAATCAGCGCTAGTCGATACTTGGAGAAGACTCTAGAATCTTCTTATGTAAAAACTATAAATATACTAACGGTTTTCCTTTCGTGCTTCTTGCTTCCATCTAACCTTGTTATTTGGAATATAATCTACCTGCTCAACCGTGTTCTGATTTGGGGCCTTGTCGAGTGAATTTGTGTCCGTGAATACTAAGCAATAGGAATAGCTGGGTTAAAACCGTAAGAGCGAAATGTAACACAGTGCAAGTCAGTGAACACGCCTGAGTGCTTAGTGACACCCGAAAGAACGTGACCTTGCGTAATCTAACTACATTCACTTGGGAAGTAATGCTTTTGTAGTTAAAATTATGTTTTATACAACACTGTAAAAGAAAATAAGTG